CGTTGTCTCTGTCTTTAGCTCACCTTGAACTCGTTGTCTCTGTCTTTGGGTCCTTTGTGGAACGGCCGGTCGTATCTGAAGCGCCGGACGTTGTTGACCCGGTAGAAGCTCTTGATGCGATCGGGGACTCGGTCCATCTGGAGGACGCCGACGCTGTCGGGCACCGGAGTCACCGCGTAGATCTGGAGGTCTGAGCCCAGCGGGTCAAAGAAACATCTGGACGGAGACTCAGACTGCTTTGATCTGACCGGAGGTCACCGTGCACACTTCTATATAACTTCATATCTCTAGAGTAATCCTCATGACGTCTCTAGCTGAAGGATACACTGAGCGTCACACTGCAGGATGGCCTCGTCGGGCTGATTGGGGTGCTGCATCGCAATGGCTTGTGGGAATTCTCCCAGCATCCTTTGCTGGAAGGCCTCCAGCCTTTCGTAGTCGTGGCCGCGACAGACAAACTCTTTGTTCTGGAGACAAACCAGAGTAAAAGAGTTTTAAAAGCAGAAACACAACATTTAGACTTTTTAGACTCAACCAGAGAGCCCTCAGGATGGAAAAGTATGTTTTCTTTAAACAATCGCTAAACCTACACCGTTCATCACAGCCAGAAGCTGCAACAGCTGTCATTACAGTCAGATTTCCATCTTTCAGACGGTCCTCGAACACATCATGTGTGATCAACGCTTCTGTCAGAAAAAGCAGCCAAACCGAAGCTCATTATAAAAATAAAGAGTTCACTTTAACCAGATTGTGTAAAAACATTAAAGTGTGAAACTATGACGTCACGATTGATTCATCTGAGACCAACAGTCATGTGACCACAAGGAGGAGACACTCTGACTGAACACAGAGAGAAAAACGCCCCAAAACTGCTTTTGGTTCAGAGGGTTATTGAGGCGTTTGTCTGTTTTTATTCATGACATTTTCAGACGTTCTACTTCTGGAGGTCTTTGATCAGAAGCTTCTAAGAGATGAAGGTTTATCTCACTCTGAGGAAGAACGGGAACTTCCTGCCGTAGAATCCGACTCTGAAGAACTCCGGCTCCAGACGCTGCTGCTCCATGATGTTGTCGTAATACGCTGCCTCCATTTTCTACACACACACACACACACACACACACACACACACACACACACACTCACACACACAGAATGAGGAGGAGGAGGAAGAGCGTGACTTTAGATTTGTTTCACAGTGAAATACAGAAGTCAGAGACACATCAAGACGTATGTTTCGTCATCAATGAGTTCGATCACATCAGGAAACGTGTTTCAGGGTTCAGACGTGTTGACAGAAGAGACATGAAGGAGAACATGAACGAGAACATGAAGGAGAACATGAAGAGAACATGAAGGAGAACATGAGGGACAAGATGAAGGAGAACATGAAGGAGAACACGAAGGAGAACATGAACGAGACCATGAAGGAGAACATGAAGAAGAACATGAACGAGAACATGAAGGAGAACATGAAGGAGAACATGAAGAAGAACATGAACGAGAACATGAACGAGAACATGAAGGAGAACATGAACGAGAACATGAAGGAGAACATGAAGGAGACCATGAAGAAGAACATGAACGAGAACATGAAGGAGAACATGAAGGAGAACATGAAGAAGAACATGAACGAGAACATGAACGAGAACATGAAGGAGAACATGAACGAGAACATGAAGGAGAACATGAAGGAGA